ATGTTTCCTAAAAAATCATTTTTTTCATCAAAGTTTAGTGTTCGTTTGACTTCGTTTTCTATGAAAATTGTCCATGAAAGTGAAATTTTTTTTTACAATTGGTTATGAAATTTGTTTATATTGCCAAAAAGTAAAAAAAAAAAAAACAAAAAGAACAAAAAAAAAAAATTTTAACGTGAGCAGTGGGAAAAGCTTTTCCCACCAAAAAGTTGGGAAAAGTTTTTCCTTAATTAGGAAGAAAACAGGCGCGTGAGCCCAGCCATGGCAAAATGTTTTCTTGTCAAAAAAAGTCCTATCAAACACTACTAAAAGTGGGAAATGGAAAATGGTTTCCATTTTCCCTAGAAAAACTCACCTATCAAACATGCCCTTAGATAAAATGTTTTCAGAAAATTATTCAAATATGTTTAAAAGTAGCTTATTAATCTTAGAAGCGTCTGACTTTTCAAAATTTTGTCAAACGGTTGCGAGCTAACGATGAATTGAGATCGAGCTATTTATAGCCTAATTACTTAAAATTGTACAACAAACATACATCACGTTAGATTATTCATACATAGAAAATGGAATAATTATACTGAATTATGGTGGTTAATCAATCATAAGGTAGCTACAAGAGTCGAGCAGTGGTCCTCCATCTACAAATTAGTAAAAATTACAGTTTGAATTTTCCCCACTAGTTTTTACCGATTTTGAGTTGCACCGTTTATGAGAATATTCTTATATTCTCTTCTACTTTTACTCTTCATAAAATAATTATTTTCAACAAATATATTTTGTTCAAAACTAACTTATAAATAAAAATATATTAACTAAAAAATTATTTATTCGCAAAAAAATTATATTATAAATAAAATATTACTTATGAATAAACTATTACTTATAAGATAAAAATTAATTGTGTCTAAAAATTTGCTACCAATAGGATAAAAAATTCACTTATACGTAAAATTATTAAAAGTACATAATGGACTTATAATTGTAAAATTTACTTCTAAGTAAAAAAAATTAACTTAAAATTTTAAGAAAAATATTTAACTTTTTAAAGTAAATGTTAACTTATATGTAAAAAATTACCTATAAATAAAATATCACTTATATAAAAAAATCATACAATAAACTATAAAATGAAAATTTCACTATAAGGGACATATATGTAATTTTATCTTTTAAAAAATTTCCGTTTTTAAGAATCGCTACTAAAACTACTCAAAATCGAACGCTCAAACCTGATATTTTGAAAAATGCTCATAATCGCTACCCGAAACTCCCAAGCAGGTCCTAAGTGTTAGATAATTGACTCGAGCCTCTCATAGAAAATATTTATTTAAACAACACTAAATTAATCATCAGTAAAGAGGGCTTCCACTCTCAACCAAATTATCGACACATTTATTATTATTATTATTATTATTATTATTATTATTTTGTTTTAGATTAGTATTCGTACATAAGTTTAAAGAAAATCTTTCACGAAATGAAGCTCGTTTTAATTTAATTTATTATGCTGCAATTTATGTGTCACAAATTTGAAGTACAGTTAACAGCATTGAATTTCGAGTTCACATGAAACTCAGGGATCATAATCTTGCTCGAAAGTTAGCATAAATAAAGCCAACTCCATGATTATGCGAATAAGTCAAATTTCTTCAAGAGGATGATTTACTTTTAAGTAAAAAAAACACTGCTTATTTCACCTGCTATTGTAAAAATACTTATATATACTTAATTAGGAAAATTTCCTGTTAAAGGTAAGACTAATCATCAGTTTCAAGAAAGTTGAAATCTGATCGAGGGAGTAATTATTGTGTTTATGGAACATCTTCTCAATGACACTTCTCCGGAATTTGTGACAGACATTTTCGTCCCCAATGCCAAAATATCCATCGACAAAAACTATCAGTATTGACAGAATTTTCCATTTGGAGGTTCTCTTTGCATGGTGTTTATCACACTTATTATTGTTATCTATTGATCGTTTGATTTTTCGCAGGTGTACGGTATCACGAACAAGTAATAAAGAAAAGAGTAAAGTATTTTTCCCACGAGAACTACGTATTTAAACTGTTCGGAAAATATTTAATTCGTCATGTGAACTGACATATATAATTAATTGTGTATAAATGTTATCACAAGGTTAAGCTCAAAATTAAAGTGATCTAGTAAAGAATTAAGTAATTGAGCTTTGTGTTTCTAAATAAAGTGGGTCGAATTATATGTGTAGATTACGAATCCATTAGTGTTGTATATATTTGACGATGAACCAAATACATATGAAAATATAAATAGAGTTATGATTCCCAATTCATGTGTGATTCTCGTTTTTTTTTTTTTTTTGGTCATCCCATCAACAAAGGAATACAAGAGAAATCAAATTGAAGAGGAAGATCTAAAACTCATAATCAAGAACAAGAAATTAACAATCAAGAAGAAGGAATTGAGACAATCAAGATTATGGAACAAACACCCAAAATCAAGAACAGGAACTCAAGAATCAAAAGAGTTAATAATCAAGATTTAAGATCCAAAATTAAGATCCTTTAAAAAATAATCATTCACAATGAATTAAGGTATGTTCCGCATTTAGCCCCCGTCCGTTTCCCATTATTTGTATACAAGAATGAATTTTGTGATAGTTTTTTCTAGCACATGGGTCCCATTGTGATGTAGAAAGTCAAAAAATAGGCTGCTATAATTGCAACTGTTTGAAATGCTATTAAAACGAGGCAAAAGATTGGAAACATAGAGCACCTTAATAATTATCTTGGTGATTTGATTGGGGGATCTTGACGATAAAGTAATTGAGTTTTCAAGTTTAGAAATTTAAAGTTTTATAAAATTCTAACATAAACGAGATTCAAATAATCCTAACCTTAATCGAATAGCAAATTGAGTTTGAATAATCTTATTCTAAAATTTCTAATTAAACTAATTATTCTTGCGAGCAATTCACTAAGCGTTTGTAAATATAAATTAGATGATACTAATATTGTTACGTAATTAAATTAATTATTCCAGAGAGCATTTTATCAAGCGTTTGTAGATATAGATTAGACGATACTAAGATTTTGGATCTCTCTTATTAATTCGTTTTAATACAATTCAACAACATGACAGTATGAGCATAATCTTGTTGATTAATGCTCCTAAAGTAATTAAAAAAAGCATCTTTCGATGTCGCTTAAATCCATATGTGACATCTCTATATCTCTATGAAAGACGTGAACATGAAAGTATGCATTAAAAACGATAGTATATTTAAAATAATCATGCAAAGCATAACGATATATCTCTATTCCCTATCGATCTTTACAATGGTTATTATAATGTGCTTTCTATTCTATTATTTATAAATCAATAAAATTTACAAACAATCCAATTAGTAATCAAGTATTTTAAAAATCATTAAATCGTATAACAATCATCCAAGAATAAACACATATTGAGCGTCAAATTATCGAATTTATATTAAAACATCATAATAAGTATTCATCTACATCTTTGTACTTAAAAACCTAGCTTAGCATTACAAAATTATAAGTAAACATGTTTAATTGTAAGAACATATATAATCCGAATTTTAGATTGATGAAGAAGGAGATGATGAATCTTGAAATCTTGAATGGTTTCTTGATGAATCTCCAATATATCTTCTTGTTGTCTCTCCAAAAATCAAGGTTGGAGCTCCAATTTCTTGAAAACTTGTAATTATCATTTAATTCTCACTTGAACAAATGATTGACTTCTTTTTTATGATGTTAATTGATGAATTTTTGGTGTATGAGAGGTTTCCCATATTGACTGCCCATGTTTAGTATTTATAGAAGTGAAATTAGGTAAAAAAATCGTGCAAGAAAGTGATTTCCATTTAGAATTTTAGCTAAAAAGCTCGATTTTGCAAGATTTGGCTGGGCATTCGTCGAGTAGGAAATTGGGCACTCACCCAAGTAAGAATTTTAGCCACTGTTTTTGAACCGCCTTGCTTTATAATTGGGCAGTCGCCAGTTATACAAGTTTTCGAACTCAACGTTTTGGACCTCAAATTCGATTCTTGTTTCTTTCAAGTCAATTTTCTTTCAATTTCGATAATTTAACTTCTAATTGCATCCGTAACATCTTCAATCTTCATTTTTGTAGTTCAAATCAACTAATAAAATGTTGCAATTTAGTCCCATACTTTGAATTTCACCAATTTTCGTCAATCTTCTCTTATTCCTTTCAATCTTTTTTCATTTATCGAGTTTCACCTAATAAACAAAATATAGAATGAATTAGGTTATAGTTAATCAAAATAATTTCAAAATATCCATATTTAAAAATCTGAATTAATGTATAAAATATAGTTATCACCTATAAAATCCTCCGTCCGCCACCACCCGTAGATGCCATCGCCACCCTGTATTTGTATGAGCAAAAAATAATAATAAAATGGAAAAATGTAGACCCCACAAATTGTCAAGTGGGCAATGAAACCATGTGCGATCATATGGTGGTTGGCCCTTATCCCAATCCACTAAACTCTCTTTTCATCACTAAACTCGAAACTTTGAAAATGAAAGATGAAAACACACATTAATTAATTATAATTAAATTCGCAAAATGAAAAGATTGATTCTCAAGTCTCCTTCTCACCTCCCATTTTCAATCCTCTCTCCCTAATATTCTTCTTTCTTCATTCTCTTCCCACGTTCTCTCTTGATAATTCCCTCACTTCTCTCTCTGTCTTTCTCACACACACAGTCTCTTTTCAATTATAAGTAGATCTTGGGTGTCAGAATTCTGAATTAAACAGAAGTTTTCTTTTGTTCTTCTGAGCAAGGAGGTCCCTTTGTGTCAGAAGAAAATCTATACTTGTACCCTTCTCCATTCATTTGCCAAAAAGATTTTGCCTTTAAGAGCCGGGCACAAACCCTACACTCAAAACCCTATAATTTTCTTCGATTTTCTCAAAATTTTCCTTCAAATTTCACTACTCTTTGCCCTCCATGACTACTCAGATCATGCCCTCAATCAAAACTAGGTTTACTTACAGATTCATTCGAGCCGTGCAGAAACTGAACAAGAATAGAGGTGTTTCATCATCCATGAAGGAGACATACAGGAGATATCATATGATTAGAGTTGCATCCTATGCATCCATGGCTTCTGCAGTCGGGTCGAAAAGAGCGTGGAGTCAGGCCGTTTTGCGGAAGATTAGGAACCATACCTTGCATCGCGATTTGAAGAAAAAATGCGGAATTCACGCTTTGATCAGGAGAAGAAAAGTAAGCGAAAACCCTAGAAATAACTTAAATTTTCATCAGGAAAATGATCTCAGGAAGCTTGTACCAGGTGGTGAAGATATGGATTTTTGCAGATTGTTGAATGAAACTGCTCACTACATAAAATGTCTTAGAACCCAGGTACAGATCATGAAAAATATGGTCGATCATTGTTCAAATTGAGCCATATTGATATACATATATACACATAAATATGCATATATGCATACATATCCATATATGTATGTATGTGTGTGTATGATGTATATATATGGCTTGAATTCGATCTGATGATCAGGAAAAGGGATGTCATACCAGACAGATAAACAGATGATTACCACCCTCCAAATAATAATATAAATAGTTATATTTGAGATACCATGGTGTACAGATGATCTGTTTGCTTTTTTCTTCAAATTTTTACCAGGGTTTGCATCCAAAAACTCAGCTTCTTGAAAGATGAGTCTTTTCTTTACTGTCTGTGTATATATATGAAGATTGGAATGTTTTGAATTACTAATGAATAATGCAGAATTCATTGAGAAAATTTTAGAAATTTATTATATATTGGGAAAAAAAAGGGTTAATTTTCTTGAAGGAATGAATTTATGTAATTGTTTCTTGAATTTAGTACCTAAGGCTGTTGTATTTACCATTTTCAAGCCCTTTTTTGTTATCGATTTTTCAAAACAGTGAAAACTTGTTTTTGAAAATAAGTTAAAAATTTAAAAAGAAAACCCAAAACGACATATGTCAAGTCAAAATTTTCAAAACACGTTTTGGGCGTTTTCAAAACAATTTTTCAAAATATCAAATAGAACACATTTTCAACATTCTCAAAATGGATACTCAAAACACAAAAGCCAAAACGAATTCAAAACTCAAAACACAAAACTGAAATATAAAGAGAACAGCTCCAAAATTTTTCTTTTGTATGGGATTTTCTCTGTTTGAAGTTCCTTATTGAAGTTCCCAAATTACTTTTCTAGGTCAGCAATATTCTTGGCATTATTTGCTTCATGGTGGAGATTCTTAGGTATAAGAGGTACATTAGTCAAATTTATATTAATATATACTAGTTGTGAAGAACGAAATGAGTTTTACTTAGGTCTCAAATGAATTCAAGAACATATTCAAAGAAATTCTGACCTCTAGTCGGAATGGTTTGTGGTTTTGGAACATCCTTCATATTTATAGAGTTACATGTCAAAATTCATGTGGATATAGTAAATCTCACTTGGACTGCTTCAATGGTAGTGTGTACATTTTTCCTTTCGGTGTGTGGAGAAGTGAAACAGCTCGATGATGATGAACAATATCGATCCACCATAACTTTGTGTTTGTGGATCGAATCCCTGAGAGGAGTGAGAATGGTAGAAATTACTGCATACAAAGAAAGAGTATTTACTCGTTGGATTAATGCACGATTTCTTATTGTATGTTTGTTTATTATTAGGACTGAAAATTGAGGTTTAGAGTTGGTTAGATGAAATAGAAAAAGTACTAAATGAATTCTGCGGGATAGAAAAATTCTTACTTGGTTAAAAAAGCTAGTTCTGCACAACAACTACGAGATATATACGATGCTTAATGGTATAGAGCGTTGGGCTATTAATGAAAATAATAAAATTCGGATGATCAACTAGCGATACCTATTAATTTATTCCCTCGAATCAAATGTCACAAAAATATGCCCCCGAATTTTTATTTTATTTTATTTTTAAAAAAAATACCAGTGCAGCACCGCTGCTAAATTTGAGAAAAAATAAAATAAAATATTTTGTATTTTTTAAAATTGGATGGAATTCCTAACATATAAATGTAATATTCATTTTTCCACATTTTATTCTGTATTTTAAAAATTAATATTACTTCATTGCTTTGTATGTCCAAGTAAAAGTTAGGTTCGATGTATAAAGCAATATATAAAGAAATTTGTAGATATTTTCTAGAAAGAAAAAATCATGATTCAAGATATTTTTTTTTTGAAAAATCGAACATTGAGATGATAGAATTTTAATTGTTGATCTAATGATCTTCAACACGTATGCAACAAGATACGAGTATAAAATATAGTCACTATTTGATATCGATTAATATTTAAATTTTAACCACATATTTTATGAGTGTCGTAACTTTTCAATCATACATCTCATTAACTTCTATCAAAATATACAAAAAATTTAATTTCAATCCCCACCAAACAGGGCATAATATGTCCGGCTTCATGCAATGCAGATATAAGCCAAATAAATTAGCTTATCTTATCTTCAATCATTTAAGTTTTTAGAAAAAATAGTTTGATATATATATATATATATATAGACACATACGTGGCTCTAAGTCAAAATTGAGTTACATATTTTGATGGGTGACACATATGGATCCATGAAATTCGATCTAACCTAACCCAGCCATCTTAAATCAAATATACAAAATAGCACCCATTAGAGCACCACCTCTTTTTTTTTTTTAAAGAATTCCTTTATGTAAACCTTCATTTGCAGCGACATTTATGCAGTTCAAGCAATTTTGATGCCTAGGCAAAATAGTCAATGGGGGTAGTTTAAACAACAACAACAACAATATGTAGTGATTAATCGCTGACGAAATTTTTATTAATGATTATCAACGGCATGACAGATGATTTTAATTGAAATCAATATTCATTGTCTCACTCGTCTTGACACCAAGCATATGATACAACTTACAGTATTTCAATTTATTTTTTTTAACTTAATAAAAGTAAATACTATGATACTTGAACTAGAAAAAAGCTAAAGATAGAACTTCTAGATATTTTGTGTTCATAGTATAAACTCATAAATAAGTCAAATATCCCATTAAGAGAGGGAAAAATGCTATAGAAAAATTAATTAGGAAAAAAAAATTTATATTTTTCATTTCTATAACTTGAGCACTATACATAAGGAAGCAGCTAATGCAGGAAACAAGAATACTGCACAAGTGGCCATATGCTGTTAAGCTCAACCCTCTACATATTTGCCTCCTGCAACACTGTATGTTAACTTGTTAACACAATCTAATCCCTCTAATGTATAAAAATTATGTTTATATGCAAGCTATAAACCTTTACTCTACTTCAGTATATGTTTGAGTTCGCCTGTTCGAGTTTCGAAAGCCATAAGAAAGCTGCAGCTTCGTTAAGCTTCAACAGTAGAGCCAGTTTGAGGAATCACGAGAGACGGCAAGTCTCTGATTCTGTATCCGCTGCCCCAGAATGAAGCGAGACAAAGGCCCATTATAGCCATGGCAACCACCGAGCAAGCAGGAGGAACAGCTTGAGTGCTTCCAAGGAATTGTGTTGCGAGGAGCCCTGCAAGTGTCGAACTTTGCATTCCTGTGCACAGTGAGATTGTCCTGCAGACTTCTTCCTCTAACCTGCCACAACACGATCAGATTGACTATAAAAGACGATTTCAACAGAGGGATAAGCTATGCGAATTACACTTTAATTTAAAATCAAACAATTTAAAATTCAGCAGACTGCAAACACATCCCAGGTTTGACAAGGAATGTGTATCGAAAATATTGACATATTGTTATAATCTTGCACCAAACAAGCAAACGAAAGGGATAATGAAAGAAATATGACAGAGAACGCCGGAAGGCATAAATAATTATCTTCAAACTTAAAAAAACTGCTAGAAAAATAGATCGAATCAGATGGAAGATTGCTTGTTTGGCACAGGTCTGTCATCGAAAAACTTATGCTGATTATAACTATATTTATTTAATCATATCCTATGGCAAGCTAACTGATGCACCCGCGTCTCATTGAACTGCTTTCATTGATATTTCAAACCAAGCATGAGAGTGACTTGAAGGAATAAGTTACCTCAAAGGTGGAATTTTGGAGATCCAGTAACCCAAGGCGAATGCCGCTGCATGAAATGACAATACAGGGCCAATCAATTTCATACCCTCTGCTGAAAGAATTTGGCTCCTATTTATAGCAAGGGGGCTTCCAATACACAATGAAGTACAAATCATTGCAACAAAAGGCATTAAAGGTTGTAGAACAGATACAACCGGTTTAGCATAAGTATTTAGCACCAGCCCAAGAGTGACAGGAGCAAGAACCACCTGGAAAATGCAGAAAATTCATTGGCAAAAATGCTAAGAAAACGAATGGCCGAGTCCCATCCAACATAGGCATGCATATATAAAATAAGCTACCACTGATTAATTTCTAAGTTAAGCATCTGAAATGGCTTATAAGTCACCAAAACTATAAGGTTTTGGACTAGAGTACTTGATCGGATAGAAATTCCTTTTGAATGAGTTAATATTCATTTTCATATTCCCTGAGCAGAGAATGTGAAAAAAGATCACAATTTTAGTCTCGACATTTGTGATGAAGTAGAAAGAGACAATTGCATTTAAGTTGTCGATGAGTATTGGTACCTGCAAAATTGATTTCGACATGGCAACTGCATCAATTGGAACCACAGAACCTATAAGAAGGCCGGTTAAAAGAGGAGTAACAAGAACAGATGCAATAGTAGTCGAGCTGGTCAATAGAATGCTTAAGGCCACATCGCCTTTACTCAAGAAGCTGGCATAGCTTGATAGTTGTGCCCCAGCAACACAAGACATGAGAACAAAACCGGCATAGAACATTGGAGACATCCCAAATCCCCTAGCTACCAACACTCCAAGAGCCGGTTTCAGTACATATTGTGCAGCAAAGCCAACAGATAACGGCACAGGTCTGCGACAAACACAAATTTAATAACTTCCGAAGCCTTCAACAATCCACCAACATCAAGAAAATTAAATTCACAATAATTTCAAAGAATAAACAATAAAAATTTGTAACCTTTTAAAAGCAAGAGCAAAATCATCAATGGAGAGTCTAATTCCAATAGACAACATAATTCCTCCAAGTGCAGGAGCATACAATTCCTTGGACACCCTGCAGGTTCATCTATCATTTACAACACCAACAACATACTTATGTTTAAAAACAAAAATTCAAGCAAGAAGTTACGAGTACATATGTAAGACAACATACATAAGTACCCAAAAAAATATTAAATAATTTTTCCAAAACAAGCACTTTTCAATGTCAAGGACCCAGAATCGATTATAATTATAATAGTATATCTTATGCTATAAGCATAGAAATATGAAACTCCCATTACCCCAAAAGCTACACAAAGAACCTTAAATGAAATGGATAGCTACACAAAATAGAATAAAATTCAAAAACTCCGAAATAAAATCCAATTAATACTACTACTCCAACTTACCAAGTGAAAGTGGAAGGCTGATAAAGAGCGGTAACTGCAGTTAGAGCCACCACAAACGGAAGCATTGCTGATAAAACTTGTGAAGCACCAGCCTTTGCCTCAGTTTCCAACACTCCTTTAGGATCCACCCCAAACGACAGCGACGAGAAGTTGCCTTCTCTTTTTTGCAACCCAACTTTCCCTATAAAAGCTGATGAAGTTGAACATGCTAGAATATTATTAGCTTTCCTTGGAAGCTTTCTTCCAATCGGAGAAAAAGAATGATTCCTTAAAGGAAGGGAAAGGGAATTCCTCCGATTGGAATTGACGTTTATAATAGAAGTTTTGAGAGTATTTGGGGTCGAAAAGATTAAAATTGATGACATTCTTGAGGTGGGTTTTTGTGGGTTTGAGTTTTGAAGCTCGCCCGCCGGTAAAAGGTGGCGTTTCCCGGCGAGGGAAGTGGTGGTGGAGAAGTGGTGGAGGGGATAAGATGATAAAAAGATTTTTTAATGATGTTTGTGTGTATATAAATTATTGAATTTAGAGTAAGGAGTTTATTAGGTGTACAAGTACTGGTGTACAATGTTTCAGTGTCTTCCAACAAAAAAAAAAGGTTTGGGGTATTGAGGAAAGTGCGTGTCTGGCACGACAATTGAACGGTTGGGATTGCAAAAATGTTAAGGTATGTCGCAGAACTTGTACGGGGATTGAAAAAATTTGACAAATTCGATATCTGTGGGCCTTGACCCAAATAGAATGAGGATTATTCACTTAATTGGGTATTTGAAGTAGGGACTAGACAGAATTCCTGTCCTCGAAAATTACATAAAAAATATGACAAATAATAAAAACTTTAATTTACCAAATATATTTGAATAATTTAATTTTTAAAAACAAATTAAAAAATATATTATTGTCTCACGTTAATGATTGGGGGCAATAAAATGAATTATACAAAAAAAAAAAAAAAGAGTAAACGGGGCAAGCACCCTGCCTCACCTTAAACGGGTAACAAGCGGATATGGGTCGGGGGATGGGAAAGGTTGCCCTAACTCTCCCTGTTGTCATCTCTAAATTTGTAGTGTCTTTTGGTTTCTCTATATTTGTGGTTTTAGGTTAGTTTCATACGAGCTCATATAGAGTCACATTCGACTTGACCTAGGTTTAGGTCAGGATGTATAGCGAAGGGAAACCGCTTGTAGATTTGACTTAAACCTATGAACAAGTCGAACTAGCTCGACTCACATCCGCGATCAGTGGACACAAATCGAGCAGCAAAAATCTTGCTCGAGCTGCTCATTAGCTTGCAAGCCGGGCCTCTATCGATTTGCCTCATCAAGGGTTGAGCTGATGGGATAAGTTGAAACGGAGCTGAGTGGCACGACTTGTCTCATTTAATGCTCTCTAGGTCTAGACTCAACTAGTGATCTAGAATCTCATGTGTCAAGTATGTGAGCCATGTTCGACCTCATAATTTTGAACATGTCATGCTTCGAAAATTCGAGCACTTGGTTCAATTTACAAATCTAAGTAGTAGAAACTGTTAGAATTAGGGAGTGATCAAAATTCTATTTTGAAATACTACATGGGAATTTTATTCGAAGTCAATTGAAAATTTAAGTTGGAATCGATTTTGGAGTTAGTAGTAGATTTGAAGAGATCTCAAAGGAGTCCAAGTTGCATTGGAGAAGTAAACATCGAATTAGCGCTTGTTGACGCTTTGATCCCGCTCGAACACTCAAAACATGAGCACCAATGCTTACTTACCTTGAGGCAGCTGCTCGAGCGGTCGGTCACCGCTCGACGCCTTGTAGACTGCCGACAATCTTATTCAAGGAATATTATGTTCGCACTTTCCTGTTTCATCCTAAATATTCCATTATTGATTTCACACATTGTATTGAAACTTCACTTCATATTAAACTCTTCATTGTATTACATTCCTAGTATGTTAGGAATCTTAGTATTATATATAGTGTACAACACATACTAAATTAATCCTTACATTTTACACAATAATTTGCAATCCTCCATTACTGATATTAATAAATTCTCCTTTTCTGCCCGTGGTATATTTTTACTACGTAAATCTTGTTTTCTAATTTGATTTTCATATTACAATATTATACTTGTTCTTTTATTTGCTAATAAATGGTATCGGAGCGTGTATGTATTGGTTAGTTTGTTAACATAAACTAGAGTAAAAAAATTATTGACATTTGTTAACAAATAGAAATGAAAATATTTTTGATTTAGATTTTGCTACTTGTACATCAAAATGGTACATAACCGGTTACTGAAAATGATGTGGAGGGAAAATATTGGATGAAAAAGGTGATTGTGTATAGAGTGACATGTGATATTATGCAATCTCTTACGTAAATCTTGATGCACATGTAGTAAGATCCTTTTGATTTACCCCCAATTTTTTTATTATTCAATAAATTTCATAATTGGGCAACAATTTTCTCCTATATCATTTACAATCCTCAAGTTTTTTGATAGCAAACAAATTTATAGAAACATAATGAAATGGAAAAATCTTGCAATCCTTACGTTATTTACTTGGTGATTGTTTGACAAAACTTCTGATACAACATTATCACTTAATTACTTAGTTCTATCCTATTCAAGCAATCAAGGACGGTCCCAGCATCGAAGTTCAGCCCGGGCAAACGTTGATCAGTTAACGTCGAACTTCAATAAGTGTGCAACACATAAATCAGTAATGCTTAGCAATGTTTTAATTCAAGCATGAAGCAACACATACATTAATAGATCAACCACAAGAACATCAATGTAACAATGTCTACTTTAAAATACTTAAATCAGAAATGAAAACATTGGGCTTCTAAGCCCTCAGATTCAACTCAGTAAAGGGGCAAACAATCCAAGAGTAAGAGAAAACAAGAAAAGACAAATGCCATAAGTCCATAACCATTTGGTACTCAATAATAACTATGATAAAACTAATCCTCCACAGGCTACAAAAACACATTCACTAGAAGAACCAAGTATATGTGGCTATCAATCACTAAAATCTTTGCATTTCATTGCACTTAAATTTCATGATTTGATCAAAACAATTCATAAAAGCTTAAAAAATGACAGTTTACTCAATCAAAAACAACTTATGGTTTCACCACATCTCGCAGACGTGTGTGCGTGACCAGGGGCTGAGGGACTGAGTGTTACCGAAGACGAAGTAACGGATGGTTGTGGCTGGACTGGTGGTGGTGGACGGAAGGTGATTCACCCACCGACAAGCGACAGCAACAAGCGAGAAGTCGAGAGATTGGAGAATGTGAAAAATGGAAATTAGGGGATTGATTTCGATTGAAGGGATAAAGGGATCTGGGTTATGCGGCCCAATTTCAAAACAAAAAAAATGATGGGTTGGGCCAATTTGAAACCCAAAAAAAATAATAATAATATCAATTGGGGGATTGAAGAAGACGAACCAGGTAGAGGTACCTGTCGGCGAAGTATTCCAATCCCAAACTGTTTGACGGTCCGGCCGGCGGAACCCAGCACTCGCGGCCACACCCCCTGGCCGAGTGCTGGGTCTGTCACTGCAAGCAATGTCTCATTACATGGAAACAACTATGCCCCTGTTTGGCCCCCATTTTTGTTCATTAAATTTCATTTTCTTCGGTCAAAAGTTCAACTTAGTTGGGACCCACTGATTCTTTTGATACAACGACTTGTACTCGAAATGAATTTCTTATATTTTAATATAATCATTAATGTCATGAATGACAAATTCGCTCGTGTAAATGTCAAAATCAGGGCGAGGGTGTTTTCGTCCTTTAATTGACCAACGTATGTCTTGAAAATTAATGACTTTAATTGACCAACGGTTGTCTTGCAAATTAATGCATCTGACACGTGATTGACTCAATTGATAGGCTAGTGTGTTGAAAAGTGTGAAAATGTGCAAAAATGAAAATTAATGGGGGCCAAGCAGGGGCTATGTTTGGTAATGATTTAATTGTGTTCTAAGCAAACTAGTTTTATTTTTCCCTATTTCAAGAAAACTCGAGTCTTGTCTCTAATCTAATCAGATAGAGTCGGAGTTATCGTGCCTTTGTTTCAGGTCATGAAAATCCTGCGAGTCTGTCCCTGTTCGGATTGCTGGCTGCCACTCGAACGCTAATCCTTGTTCTTCATAGACAGATAAAACGGGGAATGTGAAACTTGACACAGCACATTAGCGTGTATAAATCATAATCTGGCATTTATAAACAGAATCAATGAACTCTCATGTTTATGTCCACATTCACAATGAATTCAAACTAAATAAAAAAAAAAACTTTAGCAAATCTATCTCCTCGTCCCGGAACCTCATGCTCCGATCTTCCTCACGTAGATCACAGTCGAACAAGAACAATGCAGACTCTGTACTACACGGCAAACCACGAGCTAACGAACTAGAAACAAAAAAAGTGCATGCTAAATCATGACTTATTACAGATAATATGTACATACAAGGAAAATTCATAACAGGTCGCACGCTGTCCTTGCAATATCGTCTTGATTAGGCTGATACCGGAGCTTCTCTGATGTAAACTGTTTATGAAGACAATTCGATCAGCTCGAGTTATAGTTTACTATCCAAAGTTAGAGTGTAAACTCAAAACTTCAAGTAACTTGCAATAGATACAGACGGACATTCATGCTTAAAAGTTACTTTTTATGAAAGTAAGATTTGTTAGTGAAAAATGTTGCTTTCGAAAATCATGTTTAGCAAAATAAGTAAGTTGAAGGTGAACCAAACATACTCTAAACCATCAATCCAAACAAGTAAAATAAAAAGAAAAAAGAAAAAATTCAAGAAAATTAAGAATTCGATTAACAATTTTTTTTTTTACAAATGAAAGTTGACCTTAGAAACTGTCTCCACTATATATCTTCCATCTTCAAGATCCGGTAACTGAACAGCCAAACAATCCCTTGGAGTCTCAAAGGAAGACAAAGAAAACTGCTTAGAAACCACACCTACATCAAAGTAAATCAAACCGGAGCTTGGAATATCGACTCTGATTTCTTTAACCGGAAACCACAAGAACAAATCCTGAGCAGAGATCCCAGAAAGCCCGTCGATCTGCCCGTAACTTAAGGTGCCCGAAACATTCCTATGGTAGTGCAGTTCATTTTCAAACTTGGCAGTGCAGGCTTGATCTAAATGAACTTCGAAATTCCCTGAACTGTCAAAGGTGAAGTCTTTTACTCCTTTCGGAAGCAAGCCGATGGGCAGCCCGTGAAGTTTAAGCACTTCATAAATGGAGGATTCATTGGATTTAACAACTGATAACAATGAAAAGATAAAGAGAGTGGATATCAGGATGGAAAAATGGCGGAAATAAATCATTTTTTTTTTTTTGTGAAGAATTGTGTGTTTTCTTTATGTTATAACATTAAAAAAATTTCTGGCTAAAAGAATTATTGAATGCGCCTAAGGTTTAAGAGAGACGGTGGCTGCAAGAATACAGAGAGGTTTAGGAGAACACACTGGCAATCGTATTTATCTCGATTGGGGTAAATTAGTAATTTCACTTGTAGGACATAACATCTGTAGAAAAATGTCGGATTGTCTGAGGAAGAGACGAAATGGAGCGTGAAATGACGCGGCGCTTATTGTGGGAGTGGGAGTCATTAGACTGGCAGCGTATATGCATGAAAATAAATTAACGAAGAAAAAGGATTGGCGAGTGGCCGTGGGATTTAAGTACGGTATATACCTTCCAGCGCGTGCCTTTGAATGGGTTTTTAATTTTGACAGAAGAATCCGAGAGAGAACTATTTGACAGAAGAATCCGAGAGAGATGGGTCGAATAGTTCATTCGATTTGTGAACTCGACTCATTTCATCTCGACTCGATTTATGAGTCGCTTGGACTTGTATTGTGATGACTCGAGCTTAATTATTTTTTTCACGAGTCGGCTTGTGCATTATGGCCCACAAGCCAATTTATCTTGACTTGAGTTCACGGATGGCTCATTTTTTGGTTCGTTTTTGGGTTTTTATATTAATTTTTTAAAAAAGTGTCGGTTTGTAAGCTCATGGACATCTCAAATCTACACGAGCTAAATGACTAAATTGAACCTTGTCTGTGGACACGAACTGAATTCGTACATAGGATTGAGTATGTGCTTCTACTTCTTGTATAAGTACTTTCTACAAAAGCTATTAGGGTGTGTTTGATATGCCAAATTTTTTTTGGAAGTTGGAAAATAAATTCCTTTTCCTTGCATTTGAGTTGTTTGATGGGCCACTTTTTCCCTCCCATTTGTTTTCCACCCAACTGCCTCACGCGCCCCAATTCAAGGTTTTGTGGGAATTCATTTTCCCACCCACTAGTTGCTGACTTTTTTTTTTAATATTTATATTATAGCATTGGAACCAAATTTCATAACCAAGTGTAAAAAAAAATTTCACTTTCATAGACAATTTTGATACAAACGAAAGTCAAACGAACACTAAACTTGGATTAAAAAAATGATTTTTTAAGAAACATTTTTTTAAATTTTATTTTTACTTTTTGGTAATGGAAACAAATTTTATAACCAAGTGTGAAAAAAATTATCACTTTAATAGACAATTTTCATATAAAATAAAGTTAAACGAATAGAAAATTTAAAAATTTTTCGGGTGGAAAATTATACCAATCAAACACACTTAATTAACAATTCCTTGCAAAATATTTTTTAGGCAATTATTTTCCCTGAAAATCATTTTCTTTCCACCCAATTTCCACCCTTACAATCAAACGCACCCTTAGATCCACTTCACCTTAAGCTCCTATTTGAGTCACATTATTTTTTTTTCATTTTCATTTTTTTATTAATTTTCAATCATACATTCTTTAATAAAATAATATCTTCTATCACATCAATAACTTTTCTTCTTTTTCAACCACATATTTCTCATCACATTAAATAAAAAAAATACTTTCTTGAACTCATAAATGTGCACCAAACATGGGCTAAATCTCTTCTAATTGAATTTCAAAAAATTATTTTAAGATGCTCAAAATAATTTCTTAATTTTAAAAGTGATTTTTAACTTTTCAAATGTCCTGCTAAATTGACGTTAGGACAATTGGAAAGTAAGGTGGGGTAGTCTAGGAAATTAATTCAAACGTCAAGCTGTATCTGTCATGTATGCACATGAAAAAGAGCATGTGAACGTAGGGCAGGAATAAAGATGATTATGATTTTGCCTTG